CCGCCCAGCCCCGAAGTGAGCTCGGGCCCAGCGGCTCAGCGGAGAGTAGTGTGCGCGGTCCGCTGACCCTAGCTGTGTGCTGCATCCCCCGCTCCCCAGGGCAGGTGCAGACCCGCGAGTGCATTGAGGCAGTGATCCGCCTAGCCTTCGAAGAGCGACTCTTCCTGCTGGCTGATGAGGTATGGGCAGGGGCGCGCGGGGCTAGGGAGTGGGGCATCAGCCGGCTCCTCGTGACGCCCTGCCGCCCCTCCAGGTGTACCAGGACAATGTGTACGCTGAAGGTTCGCAGTTCCACTCGTTCAAGAAGGTGCTCATGGAGATGGGGCCGCCCTATGCGCAGCAGCAGGAGCTGGCCTCCTTCCACTCGACCTCCAAGGGCTACATGGGCGAGTGTGTGCAGGCCAGGCGGGCGGGGACTCGCGGACCCTGGTCTCAGCTTGGCGCCTCTCGCCACTGGGTTGGCTCCCTCTTCCGGCCTGGCCTCGACGCCCGCCCTCGCCTCGCAGGTGCGGGTTCCGCGGCGGCTACGTGGAAGTGGTGAACATGGACGTCAAGGTGCAGCAGCAGATGCAGAAACTGATGAGCGTGCGCCTGTGCCCGCCGGTGCCCGGCCAGGCCCTGCTCGACCTAGTGGTCAGCCCACCCGCGCCCTCTGACCCCTCTTTCGCGCAGTTCCAGGCGGTGAGCGCGGTTGGGGAAGAGAGGGGGGCAAGGGAGCAAAGTTGTGGCTGGGGACATGGGGGTGCCACGCCCCTGGGCCACACTGATTGGCCCTGCCTCTGCGGCCACAGGAGAGGCAGGCAGTGCTGGCGGAGCTGGCGGCCAAGGCCAAGCTCACCGAGAAGGTCTTCAACGAGGCCCCGGGCATCCGCTGCAACCCGGTGCAGGGCGCCATGTATTCCTTCCCGCGCGTGCAGCTGCCCCAGCGTGCGGTGCAGCGCGCTCAGGTCAGGGGAGGCCAGGTGGGGGCGGGGCCGAATGGGTCCCATGTGAGGGGCCAGGGGCCAGGCGTCCCACCTGGACCTGCTCGTGTGTCCCTAGGAGCTGGGCCTGGCCCCGGACATGTTTTTCTGCCAGCGCCTACTGGAGGAGACCGGCATCTGCGTGGTGCCTGGGAGCGGCTTCGGGCAGCGGGAAGGCACCTACCACTTCCGGTGAGGCCCAGCCCTCACAGCCCCTCTTCGAGACCCTGCTCCTTCCGCTTACTGTCTATTTCTTTCAGGATGACCATTCTGCCTCCCATGGAGAAGCTACGACCACTGCTGGAGAAGCTGAGCCAGTTCCATGCTAAGTTCACCCAGGAGTACTCTTGAGGACCCCACCTGGGGCCAGGCTGGGCCTCCCCCAGACAGACTGCTCAGGACTCTGGACTTGCTCCTGCTGCCTGAGGGGCTGGGCCCCTGCCTCTCTGAGGTCCCAAATAAATCTGTGTGACAATCTGACTTGTTAGAGGCAGCGTTTGCAGCTGCATAGGCGATTTCCACCTTTTGTTCACCCTGACCGCCTTTTGGAAGGCCTGTGGACACTAGTCTTTCCTTCAGAAGGAATTAAGGCTCCCAGAGGAGGTGCCCTTGCAGGTAGTAACCACTTCCTCTATAGTTCCTGTGGGCTGGGTCTTCATCATGGCATCTGGTCTTGGGACAGAGATCGACACCCTCACACAGAAATTAGCTAATAGAATATAGGATGCAAAAGAAGGCACAGGGCCCCCTGCATCTCCTTGTGGGGAGATCCCAGAGCTGCCAGGAGTGGGGATGGGACTTGACAAAGAATCACAGGAGCAGTAATCCCAAGGTGGCCACATGAGAAAAAGTAGCCTTTCTGAGGCAGTCACCGAAAGCTGTGTCTCTTCTCACTCTCCTTCCTGTGCTGTCTGCCTCTTCCCTGGCAGCACAGGGGAGATACTGTTAGTGGGACAGGGTGACGGTGATGGCTCAGGAGGAAGTTGGTTTTCCTCTACCTGGGAAACAGCGGTGAAAGAATGGGAGGCAGAGAGAGAGAAAGTGGGAGCATCACAGGGGTGGGCAGCCCTATGTCCTTGCCCAGGGAACACAGGGATAAACCCCTATTATGTGCAGACTGCTGTGGTTCACTCATTTTATCTGCATAGATGGTCCTCTGAGGAAGGCATGGTGGTCCCCATTTTATAGACAATGAAACTTGAACCCCAAGAATATGTTAAAGTGGCAGGAAGCCCACAAAAATGACTTCAGTGGACAAAGAAATGGGTTGGTTTCAGTGCCATCGAGTTAGTCCAAGACTTGGGCTGGCTTCAGGGACTTACAGGCTTGGAGATGGGACCGACCAAAGAATCTAGTTTTGTCCACTCTGAATATTTTGTTTTTTTGAGTCGGAGTCTCATTCTGTCACCTAGGTTGGAGTGCAGTGGCACGCTCACAGCCACCGTAGACTCAACCAGCTGGACTCAGGTGATCCTTCTGCCTCAGCCTTCCAAGTAAGCTGGGACTACAGGCGCACACCACCACACACAGCTAATATTTTGACTGTAGAGACAAGGTCTCGCCAAGTTGGCTAGGCTGGTCTCGAACCCCTGAGCTCACACAATCCTCTTGCCTTGGCCTCCTAAAGTGCTGGGATTACAGGCTTGAGACACAGCACCCGGCCTGAGAATTATTATTATTATTATTTTTTGAGTTGGAGTCTCACTCTGTCGCCCAGACTGGAGTGCAGTGGCCGCTCCCGGCCACCACAGCC